TTCACAAACAGAGCCTTCATTTAACCAAAGCATAAGCCACAAGTTAACGAATCGAGTTCCACGTCACCGAATCGTTCGTCCTTTAGCTGGAGTAAAACGGCCGAAGTACCCAATAAACCTCCATACCCAATTTAGCTGTTCACCACTACAAACGAGTGTGTAGTTTGGGACCAGGGTTTCATTCAACTCACTTAGTGGAACTGTCAGTGGTTCACCGATCCCCTTATGGCCCTGAATGTTGGTTTTCGTATTCTCTGTTTGACGGTTGGAAAAATGGCTTGCATTATGTGCTCAAAGGCACACGATCCAGGGGGTTTCAAATTTTATAGACTTGTGACACTCCACTTGCAATCGAAATGTTGCCAGGTCTACCTATTTTTGTGAATCTTTCCACGCAAATGCTCACTGGATTGTTGGACGAGCCATCCGCAAACATTACTCATCCGAGGAAAATCCAAGTTTCAACACACTCATTGTATCGTGTGTGGTGCATCACAAACATTCATCGGAACAAATCAATAGAATACAAATAATTTTCGTTTAGGCAACTTTTATGGTAACCCACAGTATGGTTTCGATAAGATCCGGGTTTGCTTTGGTAATCAGTGATCCGAATATGCATTAACGTGATAAAAGTTATGATATGTCGGTAACCCTGCTTTATTTTTCGCAATTTTCCGTTGACACATCACATACATCCCAAACGATTGGATTTTGATATGAAGATGCCACCCATGCTTAACATATTGGATTATGATTTGAATAAGGTGATTCATCCTCGGAACTATGCTCTGACCGGTGCCAAAGGCTGTTGACCACACTCCCAGTGCTGTGACGCAGGTGCACTCCGTAGCTCGCTGCAAAATGGAAAGGTGGTCTGAAAAGCAATTTGTGCATAAAAACACCGCTTTCGATTGCACAGAAAAACGAGGGGATTGGTGGACATGCTTGCCTAAAGATGAAGGAAAGCTGAATGAACTAGAGCACATGTGACGGAACTTGTTTTGCTTTACAGAAATGTGAAAGATTAGACCGGTCTGTTTTGTCAGCTTACCACATGAATGAAAATGATAGATTTCTGTTGAAAAATGCCCAACGACTCGTAAGTCATTGCTGCGAACTGTTTTGCCATGCGATTTTTTCTCGTCCCACTTCGTGCTGTGATTCATCAACCCCGAATTTCTGCTTGACACCGGTGGTGAACTAGTCACAGACTTTTTCACTGTGATATGCCAATCGATAAGTACGTGATTGATATAGTTTTGAAAAACAAAACTGCTCTCTTCGCTGGCAGACACAGAAGAACCGCATTTGGGAATAAATCATATGTACTTTGCATATGTTGAGAGTAGTGTGCATGTCAAAGTTGTGACTGTTTTTTCGAATGATAACCACAAACCAAATTGTTTCACAGAGCTACTAGCCTATTCATGTGCAACCAATCATGCCTTGTCAACTAAAAATGGCTGAAATGTAGGCATAGTTATCTGCACAAGTCATTTCTAATACAAAACAATAATACAATAAAATGAAAACATTCATCGGCTTGTGATGTTTGAAGGCCAGGTAACGATAACGGTGTGGAAAACTGTGACCGATCGTTCGTAAATAAGCTGAATTTGAAAGAACATCCAGTTTTCACCAACCTCATTTTCTTTTATGCTATATGAGCTTCCGTATTTTAAACATGATAATCGCGACTATTGGAAACCGAAACATCAAAAACGGTGAACGTGTTCTAACCTTGTGCGGTTTTTCAAGTCAATTATAGTTGAAATGGAAGGGGTCAGATCATAGACGTTAACGTTTTTTGATCATGGTGCCCTCATAGAATGCACTTTTAATTCCCGGAAAACTGTGTTCTTTTACTGTTCATCAAGACGATAGAATGCTCTCAAATGTCAATAGCTATGCTACAATAAACTTGGTTTCATAACCTCATAAGTCATTTCCTAGTGAAACCGATGTCCTTTAACTCGCATCGCCTTAATTACAACCAAAATAGGATTTTAATTCCACTGTCTTGGCAATATTCCGCCCGCTAGGAGATCGTGGATCTGCTACTTTGCTGCAAACATATTTATGCATGGATTTTTTTGCACACAGTTTGGACTCAGACAGATGTAATATTAATCAAAATCGCACTCTAAAAGTCAAAGTTTTACCACGAGAAATACTTAAAAGCTATTGCTTTTTGCCCTAAAGGGTTTTTCACATGACTGGATCAACTGACTAGTCAAAGAGAGATGAGGAATGCCACAAATTTTCACATTTTGTATATTGCCATGGATAACGGAGCTTAAGACACGATGAAGATTCATCCAGTCTCTGATAGAAAGAATAAAATGTTGACACAGGAATATGGTGAGTCGGTAGGATGATCCAGATACTACGCACTATCAGGGCAAATGAATGACGTCAGCATTCTCTAGTCAACAGTTTTAGAGCATCAACTTAGATGGATGCTCCTGAACTGAGTGCTTTGCGACATGGTGAAATGTGAACGAAATGGATGGTCAAGGTTTTGCATTATTTGGTTGACCAAAATCAAGTCTCATTGGATTTAACGACGATAGGTAGAGTATCATCCGAAGTATTCCGGTTTCTCCATATAGATCTTGTAACACAATCTATTGATGATCTTGGTGGCCACTTCTAATGGACGTTTAAAATCTTACAATCTCGTTACAGCCATGGGTTCCACGCTTGGATGCTGTTCTGTATATGCGGTCAAATGTGGGCTAATAACAAACGTGGGAACAGCATAGGTCCAAACTCACCGAGGACTGGCTTTAGCAAACAAATGTATTTTACGTCTGCGGACGGCGCCATGGGGCAGTTTATAGAACAACCTGGGTTGTGTTGAACGACAACACCAAGATTCTAATCATTCTAAGCATGTGGAATATTTGATGTCCCAGGAAGTAAGAAACCCGGGTTTGGCGGTACAGGAATACGACTATAGATTACAGTTAATTAAATTCGATGTTGTTTTAAATCGATCACTGATATTTCCCTGAAGCACCAATGAGTCGTCAGGTTACGTCGTTGTATTTCATATTTTTCATCATTTACAATAATTAACATTCCTGTTGACCAGAAAAAGTAGAGGACCGAGGACGGATTCCTATGGTATCAACGGGGCCACACTGAGAGGACCGAAACCCGAACGAACTTCTGTGGTGTGTTGTTCAAGAAATTTATCTGTCGAACCCGATAAAAGTACCGTAGTTCCGTAATTGTAAAGTTCATAAGCAGTACTTTTTGGTTCGCCCGGTCAAATACCTTGACAATTTTGAGATACACTATGTCCATCTCTTCACCATTATCAACTGCTTTTGTCCATTCTTTTTGGCCTGGAAATATGTTGGTAGTACACGATAGCATATGACGAAACCCATGTTGCAAGTCGTATTTTTCCAAGGGACCCACTATATCGTCTGCAACCGTTACGTTCCCAGATCGCCCAGAGCGAAAGGAAGAATAAAGACTGACTGTCAGAGCCGTGTTTGTTCTAATGAATACGTAAAGCACTAAACCACGCGACAAGAACGACAATCGTAACATCATAAGAAGTCGAGGTCAATGGCATCGTCCGTTCACCTGCTGATGATTGGTACCCCTAACAGCAACAATCGATTTCACGACTTTGGGCAAAAGGGGGATGAGAGTGAGGAGGCAATATTGAACCGAGCTACCAAGATAACTGTCGTTCAACATAGGTGAAATTATTTCTCGTTCCACATTTTGGGAGCATAGTTGTGGATAAAGAAGACAAAACACAGGTTTGCATAATGTAACCTGGATCATTTGCTGCATCTGTACACGTGCATCCTGCAGTCTATGTGATCATTAATATATGGTAGTCTCCCTATGACTGTGATCACGCAGCTAAACGGAATCGTCAGGCTGAGGTGCAAGATTGCTGTGCAGCGCACAAGTACTGAGTTCTTGTTGAAATGCATCGAACAGAATCGTCATCCAATTTCTAATTGCAAACGCTTGCGTTGTGAAAACGTTCCTCCAAGTTCCGAGAATTCAAAACAATATGCCAAGTCGCATATTGAGGAGTGCAACGTCACGCTTACAGAACTGCTATCGATTGTCTCTGAAGCATCAGATGTTGTTGACCAGTTGAATGTTGTGTGCTCTATCAAATTCAGGAACTTTTGTTCCGATCGTTTTCGAAAAACACGTTCTTTTGAACTGAAGTCGCTGGAAAATCCACTGAACCAAGAACTCATGGTTTCATTGTTCCCCAAAGACCTGAGAAAATTTGTGTTAAATATATCTTCATGTAAGCTCAGTTGTGTACAACTTGAATCGTTATCAAAGGGTTTCAACTGATTTGCTCCGCCATGGAAGTCTAACCGTATAGGTTCTCAAGCGAAAATGGAAACCCTTTTTGACAGTTTCTCAACCCTGCAACTGACCAATGAGGATACCCTTAGCCGGTTCAAAGCAAAATTAGTGGGCACAGAACATCAGTACCGAATAACATCAATGCGGCAATGTACACTAGTGACTGAAACCCACATGAATGCACTGAAGGGACTAAAATCGAATGAAAATGTCATTGTTCTAAGTCCAAATAAGGGATCGGGGTTGTCGTGATGAATAATGTTCGTTATAAAGAAAAAATGCTCTCTATTTTGAACGATGAAAGAAAATTCATAGTCGATAAGACAAAGGATGATCCGCAAGAACTGGAGAAGAAAGTCAGTATCGAACGGAATACTTGGATGTAAACGGGACTGATTCCAAAATCCATGGTGAAACAATTACGATCGAGGGCAAGTCAGACGCCACAGATTTACGGTTTACCAAAGATATACAAAGAAGGCATTCCCCTACAACCCATTATGTCTGTATGCAACTCGCTAAGTGGTTAACAGAAACTCTAAAACCGGTGAGGGACTCCATTTTCCACTACAATGTGAAAGACAGTTTTAAACAAACTGTGCACACTATTGGAAGAGAGAAACATTCAAAACAAACATATGGTTACTACGGATGGAAATACACTTTTCACCAGCGTCCCCCTACTGGAGACCATTGCGATTAGTCGTCAAACTATGGAAGGAAAGAACATTCACGTTGGACTACCAGCGGAGGAGCTGGAAAGGCTTTTGTTGCCATGTGCCCATACCGTGAAGTTCTCCTTCCTAGATGAACGATATCAACAGCTAGACGGAGTCGCTATGGGAAGTCATCTGGAGCCCATTCTTGCGGACATTTTCGTCGGATATCTGGAACATCAATTGAGAGACGAAATCAAAAAGCTGGACCTATACTGCCGGTATGTTGATAATGTATTTATCATTTATGATGCAAAAGAAAGACAGGGAGAGATTATTTGAACACTTGAATAATCTTCACCGGAAGCCACAGTGAGACGCAAGACAGAATCGCCTTTTGGGATGTGGAGGTTTCACTTTGAACGGATGAATCAATCAGAAGATATTGTAACGAGAAGGCGAGCTGGCTGGGAAAACGTCTATTGATCCAATTCAAAAACAAACAGTGTCTACGTTCGATTATATACAGTCAATTCTGAACCGCGCGGCGGGATGATTCATGCCTCTTTCTGTGGATCATTTGTTGTTGGTCTTGGTCCGCACTTGGCACGTACGTTGCCTCTTCTTCCGCGTGCCCTTCCGACCCAATCGCGGCGCGAGATGCGTTGATCGAC